CCCCACCCCCCCCGGGCGCCCCCCCCGCCCGCCTAGCGCCCGCCTAGCCGCCTAGCCGCCCGCCTAGGCCGATTTTTCGAAAACAGAGATTGACTGAAAGTCTGAAACCCGAAATTGAAAAAGTTTAGCTGCAAATTTGAGCTTGAGATTGAGATTGGGAAGCCGAAGCAAGCACAAGTCAGGTCCATAGAAGAAGAGATCATTAGACTCTTAATTCATCTAATTCCGTTTGCTGACTTGGTGTCTGTCTTCAGTGGAAGGAAATGATGAAGCTATCCTATCATGGAGTTTCTACGGTCTTGCCAATAACAAGGTTCGGTTTTTAGGCCCCAATCTCAAATTCTGACTATTTATTTCTGGTTTGGTTAAGCAAAAGATTGATTGGTTTGGTTCTTCTTGCTTGAAACTTGATAAATCTTTATGCATTCAATATTCATCCATTGATGGTTCTTCTTGGTTGGACTGCTTTTCATTCTTTGGATATCCAATTTGAAAAAGCGGTGCAGGAGCAGTTGTTCATGCACATCATCTCACGTTCCTTGAGGTTCATACTTGTGTTATACCAGGATTGTTCTGTACTTGGCAATTTCACCCCAGAGTACTTCTTAAAGATGTCTCCACTGCAATTCAGTTGGCTCTTTCTCACACAGCTATATGACCAATCCACCAAGTCCCAGTCTTGTTGAAAGGTCAGTATAAATCATGTGATTTTGTTCAGTGCCAACACTTCTTCAAGTTTCAGTTTAGGATTTGCTTAATAATCTTTGGGTTAATTTAAACAAACGTGAATGAACTTGGGAGTGGGTGGAATGAATCATATTTGGAATAGCTTAGTAATTTTATAATTGAATAATTTAGTAATGAAGATGGTATGATGGAGTGAAGGTTTGTCTTTGTAGTTAATCATTGATTTTGTCAGATAAAATGTAAGTTTCGAAAATTCTATTTAGAGAGTATAGCCGACCGGCTATACATTTAAAAATTTCTATTTATATATTATGGTCGCTCTCGGCTATACTATTGAAATATTCTCTGTCCTATTTGCAGCCTATAAATAGAAATTTCGAATGTTAAATTTCAAACCTATTCGTCATACAGTGCATGGCTATGCATAATAAGACAGTTGACAATGTTAAACGTATGCCAATTTCTCCACCACTTAATTTTACAAATATTCAAAATAGGAAATTAAGTTTTGTTGTGGATTTTTTATTATTATTTTAATTCCTTGGCATAGATGCTAGTGCCGAGCTAGCAAGTTCTAACTTCTAATCAATGAATTTTCTTTCATCAATCAAGTGAGGGGCTGGGTAGAGAAGAGTGGGAAGGAATAATGGGGTTGGAGGAGGGGAATCTTTAAAGTATTATTTTTAATTTTAATAATTAAATTAAGTTTTTTATAAGATAATTTTTAATTTTTAATTTTTTTCTTCAAACATGGTACTTAGTTTAGCAAAATAATGGGTCCTATTGGTGCCATGTCAACATTTTTAATGGAGTTTTAAACAGACTTGACGGAAATGGGCAAAATAGGACACAAAACAATTGTTAAAGGGCAAAGTGGGTTACTTTAACTTTAAGGGGGTTTAATAGGAATTGACCAATGTTTCAGGGGGCACTATAGCACTTAAGACAAAGAGCAACGGTAAGATGGGCACTAATGTGGTATCGGCCGAAGGTTTTCCGATACTTAAATTAGCTTAAGGACATAGTGAATAATAATTTGGACAGAATACGGGCTAAGTAGCCGAATGTAGCATTTACCTCATTTTAGGGACTTGCACCTCTATTTATAGATCTTAGGAGGTGTGCACCTTGAGTGGGATTTTGATGTGGGATTGTGGACATTGCCTTAGAGGCTGCCACGTGTCCTTTGTCCAGCCTAGTAAAACAGACACCTTCTTAAGCCGGATCAGTAGGTTGGGTTGCCAAAAGCTCACCCGGCCTATGATTTGTACATGGGTAGGATTGCCGAAGGTTCACCCTACCGATGGTCGTTTTATGAGTCTCAATGCTTTGACTGGGCTTTGTGAGTCTCATTGTAGGTCCTACGCTCCACATGCAGAATAATTGGCTTGTCATATATGATGTAAAGACGTAATATTAATAATATACACTCCCACTTGCGAGTTTAATTTTAGTTGAATTAATATATTATTTAGGCTAGTTTAAATGCACATTAATTAGTTCCAATTCACCAATTGAATTTATATTTAAATTTGATGTTTGGTATTTGACATCTCCTTTGGAGATGCTCTAAAGCTCAAATTTATTTTCAAGTAGTAATTTGACACAAAAAAATTCAGGTTATGAAGTCAATACGGATTTCTTTATGTCGAAATGAAGTGAAACGCAGATGGAAAGCTTAGAGTTATTGCTCAAATTTTCCGAACGAAAATAGTGGTTTTTGTGTTCTTCTCAGAAAAAACAAAAACAAAAAAAAGCAAACCTGCTCCGCAGCTTCAGAGGCAACGGTAACTAAAACCCAACGGGTGAGGCGCGTACTAGATTTGGGCCCACACCCTCTAGAAACTAGGCGAAATAAAAGAAAAGAGTATGAAACTGGGCAATGAGGGGGCCAACCAACCTTGTGTCTTGACGTTGTTTGTTTCTTTACCAACACCTTCAATCTTTATCAATCAAAAGATCATCTTCCTCTTCAATCTTTCGTCCATTTTACTTTACATGATTTTTCATCATCAAAATTCACATCCACAAACCCAAAAACATTTATTAGTTTATCTATTTTGGAAGGCAAGTTTTGTACACGTAATTATAATTGCTGATAACCCTGTGGTTTGTATCTCATTGGCACAATGGCAACTTTCTTGTGGGCTTGCGAGGATTTTTTTATATTTTTTACATCAATTTTTCTGTTCTGGGTTTTCTGTCTAATTGAACATTGTTGCATGCAAGGTGTGGACATGAGCTGTATATGTCATGCCTGTAAACCAATTTTCAATGCAAGGGAGAAGACAAAGGGGAACAATAGAAAATTATATAATGCACCAAATGTGTCCTGCTTTGAGAGTAATGAAGGCTCTCAGTCTCTGAAAATATATTATATGTTGAAATTTTTTGAAGATTATTCAAGGGGTTTCCTGGTTTCTAAGATGTTTGGAGAAGGTATCTTGACATCACATAAAAGGACATTAGAAAAGGGTTCATGGAATCAGCGGCTATGAGTGCTGCAACAATTTAATATGTTACAGCTGTCTGCTTCCGATGACCCTTTTGCCAAAACCATACTCATATTACTTGTGCATAATTGGGAAGTCTACTTAGTTCTTCCTTATATAGAAGTGATGAATGACCTTGACACTTCATTCTTGCTGAGCACTGAACAGTGTCAAAATCAAAGCCTTACACTGCACTCCAAATATATGGTGAGAGGTCAGTATTTTGCTCTCTACAAGTTAACTGTTTTCTTCTTTGGATATTATTAACTAATTGTAGCAATCTTTTGTTATCATGAAGGAATTGCTTCTATTTATTGCTTGGTTTTATTCCCATTGGTACTGGCTACTTTCCAATCCTTTCTGCTGCATATAATTTGACTTCCTGATAAGGGTATCACTTCAAAAGGTACTTCTTCTGCCTTAACATACTGAAATTTTCAATGTTTCCCTCATTGTTCTCAGATAATAGTATTAATGTGAAGTTTTTGTTCTCAGTTTTGCTTGATAGTTTGAATTATTTTGAGTTCTTCACTGTCAGATTTTCTGATTTTTACTATTGTGATGTGAAATGGGAGTTTGGTTAAGTTTTTCTTCATCTTCGTCTACTTTTTCTCATGGCTTCCTCTCTTTCCACATTGAAGTTGTATGCTTAAAAAGACATTCAGAGCTAGGTAAGGAAAAGAATGCAACAGTAAAAGAAACTATGTGATACAATGTATATTCAGCAACTTAGATTCGATCTATGGTTTTCAATTTACCTAAGTGGAAGTACTCTTTTACTTTGGATGGATGAAGTTTGCCAAAGTAACAGAAAATCTGTATTTTTCATTTATCTTAGCACATTGACAAATTTTTTACAATTTTCTTTTCAATTACATAACTTTTTCTATGCTACACATCCAGTTTGAGAACAATGTGTAAACTTGTTAAAAATGAAGTTACATCTTAGTGCTTTAAATTGCAGAATGATTACATCTGCTGAAGCAGTTGAAGCTATGGTAGAGGTTGTTCCTTGGGAAGAAGTTCCTGAGTCATTGGAGCAAAAGAGAATTGATTACTTGGCAGAAAGGAAAAGGCCGCTGCGAGCCCGTTATGCATATGGCATAATCTTCTTAATCACAAATCTTTGGGCTTGGTTTGTTCGTGACTATGCGCAAAGGGTTTTACCTGAGCTCCATTGTATGCAACTGTTCTCCCCTTCTCAAAAGATCTGGATTTTCTTCTTACTTTAGTTTGGTCCATACCATTATCAAATTTATACAAATCACAAGCTCCTATTTCAAATACTGTAACTGACTTCTGCAAAGCCAATATCCCTATATAGCTTCTAAAGTAGTTTCACTTTACGGATTCTGCTAGACTTGTGATCTTTATCTTATGTTAAATTCCACAGACAAGTTCCTTTGCACATGAACAACATTTAGAAACTGAAATTCTAATCCTGTCATGCATTATTGGAAGTGATTCATTTACACATAATTACAGACTAGAAAAGGTATATATAATGATGCTTTCTGTGTTGTGCTTCTAAAATTTCTTCTGCAGATATGAAATCTTGTGGATCTGGCGGAAATGACTGCTTTCATACACTGGGAGTTCTTCGTGTGAGTTTAGGAAGCTTTGTATCTTTTTTCTGGCTGATTCATAAGATTAGGTTTAACTGCAACCCCTTATAAATTGGTTAACCAATACTGCTGTACCCTTAAGCGTAAAGCTCAATTGGAAACTAAGGATGATGGAGAAATAATGCAGTCATAATCTTTTGTTTGCAGGACAAATGTGTTATCATAGGATGGATAACAAAATAACTCAGGCCTATGACTTGTATTATCATCGTTTTACTATATAAGTTAATATTTATTTTCAGCTACAGATTTCCTACCTGTGTTTCTGTCCCCTCAAAGAGTGAACAACCTTAACATCAAAATCAGATATTTTTCTTTCTAATGTTCCTCACTACATCTAATACAAGAAAACTATGTGAAGCTCGCAATGCATGGCATTCTGGATGGTGGGGATTGAAGTTTTTCATATTACTAATATCGATGGTGGTTCCACTCTTCGTTCCTTCAGATTCTGTTCAAATATATGGTACGTTAATTTGACATCAATCACGAAACACTTCATATTTAATACCATATTCTTTTGTCTTTCTTCATACTGGTCCTTTATGCATAAATTGAGAAAGAAGCATGACTTACTTGGTCCATCTGATGTTAGAACATGTGAGAATAATCTCTTTCAATGCATTATTCTTTTCAATCATATTTACAAGTAGATACAATGGTCAATGAAGAAAAACCATGGAAAACAAAAGTACAAAGTCTAGGCCTAAGAACATAATCTACTGTATCTGGGGGTTCTGTTACCATATTAGTAGTTTCCTTCAAATAAACCACTCATGACCTATCTATTCCTCCTTGTTTGATGCATCTTGAAAAAGAATTTCCAAATTAACAAGTTTTTTCCTATTTTCT